CTTGCCTCGAGACTAGTTTACAGTTTCAGCGCATACTGTAGAATCTCCACCGTATGCCCGTTTGCGTCCTTTCACGTTTCACATGGGCGATCCAATGTCCGTGAAAGGCAGTTCACCACATTCCAAGTCACAAGGACTAAATAGCTCTTTCCAGTCGGGTTACGCGAGTACGAAGCCGTATGATTTATGGAAGGTGAGCAGTTTCTTCCCATGAGCTTTTTATTATTGAACGTTGATTTACTCTGTAGAAGATGGTCAGTACGACAACCACACGATGCCCATTGCTGTTCAGGTACTTCCCACAGACAGTCGTCCTGGTACGATCTCATTGCACGAATACTCTTCTTTGGAGGTATGCCGTGATTGGAAACGCTATTTTTTGTTACTCTGATTGCCTTTTTCAGTAAGTTATCACTATGAATTTGTTGCTGGGGCTGTGGAGAAAGTCGTTATAAATGCGTATAGACTAAATTACGGGCATTATGCTTTGTTGATCGATGTTTTGAAGCATTTTTATCGTGTTTGCATTTATGAGTTAAGACTGAAAGTTTATGAAAATAAATTCGTGGGAACATGATTGTTACTTATCGCTTTCGTTTGTGTGATTTGCCTGATACATTTTCCACGATAATTCCGATGATATGATATGATATATGTGTGTGCCGTTATATGATGGTGAGAAGGATGGAAGACGGATCTGCCGTTGCGTGTATGTGCAGCTGCACTTTCCTCTCGTTAGGTCTTTTGTTTTGCAGTTCTGCAGATGCCCACTATGACCTCAAACGTTCTAACTTCTCCTCCATGGTAAAGAGCTCACCCAAAAGGGAGTACCCTTCCCTGAAAAAATCGCGCCCCCTGGCTCGACAATTATATTTGCACTTTTCGATGCTTTGCAGCTGCTCTCTGTCTGCATTTAGGGCTACGGTATCAGTCATGGCACGTCGTCGTTGTGAAACTCACAACGGGGTGGGAGCCGTATTTGACCCCTAAGGAGACGGGGTGGGTCTTAGGCATAGGGCTGATTAAGAAGTGGGAAGGACAGCAATACCGTGAAACGTCTTAAAGACAGCCCCCGCGATCAAAGTGGCTCGTGGTCGCCTTTGCTGTGCAAGTAGTCTAGCCTCCAAGCTAGACTGTTCACCTTTCGCGACTCTATTGTGAGCGTGGAGGCTGCTATAGCCGCTCAAAGTGCTAGTTCTAACTCCTCCTCAGTCGGACCGCCTTTACTTGCTAGATGTCCTCCGACGGAGGCCACTCATTCTTAGTTGGGGCGGCGGGCGTTGCTAATGCCCCTGGATAATTCTGCTCTCCTTCATTACAATTTACTCATTGGAGGTATATATATTATTTCGATTCAAATTCGCGAGGATTTAACGGTGAAAAAACACGATTCGAAGCAATTTGTGATGCAAAACACGCACAAAGGTGCGTACCGTAATCACAAATTCAGACACCGTGTTGATAAAATTCCTTTTTCCTTCCCAGAGTTTTTCCTCTGCGTTTTTGTTGTTTTCTTTTTGTATTCTTTTACTGGATGATATCAACTATGCGAGATGTGATAGAGAGACTTGTGAGCTAGGGGCTGCACAGAGACCGCAGGGAGGTGTAACTGTGAGGGAGCGATTTTGTTTATGTTGTTCTGGAGAACGCTTCTTGCCTGTTTTCTTCTTTGGGAGATTACTTATCAGCTGCTGTTTCATAATTGGAAAGCAGCTATCCATGAGACTTTTATCGCGGGAGCTGTCTTTAAGGACGTCTGAACTGAAGACAGAGCAGCTTGCTGGACGCGCTCAGTTTCGGCTATTGGCTCAATTATGAAGCCTAGATTACCAAACCCGCAAGCTTGTGCACAGGGGTGAAACATCTTGGTTACGACTATGACATTCATTCTTGGCGCTGGCTAACGGAGGACGCGAAGATTATCCGCGCTCTGCTAAGGCTGAGTGCAGAAGATAATTGTAGCGTACTCCATCAGGGCCAGCGCCAAGAAAGTGTCGTGTCCTAAGCAGGATGTTAAATCGTCCCTATATACAAGATTTCAGCGGATCTGGCGATCTAGGCACCCCAAGAATAAGCCCGCAGGCAAACTGGGCGTGTCCAAGCGACATTAACCAAGAAGTACGGTAGCCGCTTACGGCGGCTTTATGAATCAACAAACTAGCAGAAAGCAGTTTAGGCT